CAGGCATATGAAATCAAAACATTACATACATTGGATAAAACTATCAATGATGAACCAATGTGTACGTGTGCATGCACAGGTGCGCGGGTGCACGTGTGTGTTACGAATTCTAAACACAAAAGGTTAGATAATGCCATTTTCTAACTACAACGTGCAAATACACAATTTCTTACAATAATCTGTGGCACACCTAAAACTTGAGGTGGCACATCAGTTACAGAACACTGCTAAAAATACCACAACAAAACTGCTGATGCCTAGATTAATTTTACTAAAGCGAGAGTCATGCCACAAATATTTCATTCTGACTTACCGGTTACCAGATACATCAAGTACGTGCAGTTCTGAACAGTTGCCTACTTCTGACGGCAGGTACTGAAGTTTATTGTCCCTCAAAGACAAAACTCCAAGTTGTGACAGATTGCCTGAAGCAGCAAATAAAGTAATATTCATTCCTCTATTACAGATCCCAATACCAGCAATTCAAAGACAAAAGCATACATAATCAATACTAGTCAACAAGTCACATCATTTATTTCTTTGTCCTCACGTCATTCAACAAAATTATGTCAACTTCAGAGATAATTTAATATCAGAGAGGATGACTGTGTGTGTGACAAGCATAAAAATAATGGAAAGGAAATGTTCATGGCCCATTTTAAGACATTTAACTAGAATGGCTGGGAAAATTTATAAAATACTTCAGGCACAATATCTGGGATTTGCACAACTATGTTCTACAGTCCTGTCAAGATTTGACGACCCCTGGCACTGCATGCATGTGACAGCAAGCTGCAGCAGAGACTGAAGAATGTAATTCTGTTGTCAAATCTTCATATAAGCAGCAGTCAAAAGCTCAAGTAGTCAGGTTACATAGCACAGAACAACAAGAAACATTGTGGTAGTGAAACAAAACCAGAAAGCAAAACATACAAACAGCAACGCACTTGGCAACACAAAAGATCAGTCAGTACTGGTTCATCAAGGATAATGATAAGCGTTGATACAAGCAATCGCCAAATTCCAAACGTGTATGCTGTAAGCACAGCATCGAAGTCTGAACCGTATAACAATGTTTCGAAGTTTCTGATGGTAATGTGTTAAATTGTGTTAAATTGCTCTTTTGAGCTTTGTCCATTGTCTAAATTACAAAATTACATTTTAGAAACTGGATTCTACTCCTCAGACTAAGTGCAAGGCTGGCTCAACCAAATGGCCAAAAGGACAGGGTTTCTGTTCTTTTCCTCCCTTTTTCATCCGACATAAAGAATCCCAATTGTGACAATATTACTAATTCACTTGGTCATCTTATCCTTCGATCTCACGAAAACAGTACCCAGTGAACTTCAACTCTAAACCTCTGAAAAGAAACAAATCATCTTAAAAATTATATAGTCTCATAAAACAAACAAACCTATCTTCTCTGGTAAACTCTGTAGGTTATTCCTGTCAGCATTGAGGTTGGTTAATTTCACGAGATTTCCTACTGATACTGGAAGTTCCATCAGGAAGTTCTCTGTGAGTATCAATTCTTGCAAGTTCTCGCACCTAAATAAAGAAAAAAGCAAAAACATCAGGCACATTTCTTTCAAGAAAACTAAAATTAACTCATTCAATATTATAATCTAACAAAATAACTCCACTGCAGAAAATAAACTAATCACTTGCTTATATTCTTGTTTGCCATGGGCATGTGCAAACGGATGCAAAACAGGAAATTAATATAAAAAGGCAGTCCATCTTGGTTGTAAAGATTTACAATAGATGGCATATAACTGTTACATAGTGCAGAGAACTATGTATTGCAGTTGATACCAAAACTGTATGCAATCAGACTTATAATTTTTTATAATATACATATAGCTTCCTACTGCATAGAACCACGTATAAAGACCACTTAAGAAACGTGCTGCATACAAACAATAGAAGCAATGACTTACACATGTAACAGTAAAATATGAAATACAAATATAAATAGTTTGAAAACATCCAGGACTGACCAAATAATTCCCATATTACAGATACATAATGCAGACAGCTAGGCTTCTGCATTACAGTCATTATTTGAAGCAGTTTTCACTGAGACACATTAATAGTACATATACAACTATCTTGACATTTGAAGCTTGAACAATATCACTATAGAATAAAAATTTACTTGGATATTATCCATCGTCTAGTAATAAAACGTAAAAAACGTAGTTTCGGAGATGGGGCTCTATCTCCGTCTTCAGGTTCCTACTCAGTTGGGCCCACTAGATAGAGCTAATCCGGAGATAGGGATTAGCTCTATCTAGTGGGCCCAACTGAGTAGGAACCTGAAGACGGAGATAGAGCCCCATCTCCGAAACTACGTTTTTTACGTTTTATTACTAGACGATGGATAATATCCAAGTAAATTTTTATTCAATTGACTCTTCACCATCGTCAAGAAGTTTTAGATTTAATATCACTATAACCTAAATAAAGTTTTTACTTTTATAATCAGAAAACTATCTACAGTTACATTATTGAATTATTTATTTCACCTCAACATACGCAGCCTATGCAATATTCACGCATGTACACTTAAAAAGCACGTATACATTTATTTCACATTTAAGACTCTCTACCAGAAGAACACATGATAAGTTTTAAACACGCAGACATTATTTTATGAAAGTACTTTTTCAGAATAATGTTGTGTAGATGGATATTCTTATTTTTATTAGCTTAACACACAACAGTGCGCAATCTCTAAAATTAAAAATTACACTTACAGTTACTTACTTGCCAATGCTGGGATTCAGGATGGCCAGTCTATTCTGATCCACTTTGAGAATCGTTAACTTCTGAAGGTTTCCCAACCCATTAGGTAAAAATTCTATTAAATTCTGAGACAGATGAAGATCAGTGAGGCTTGCAAGGCCACCAATCTCATCTGGAAGGTCTTCTAACCGATTCTCAGAGATATCCAGGCAAGCCAACTTCTTCAGGTTGCCAATTTCCTGTAACATGTTAAAAGCAATCAAAGCTGAGTTGGGCTGGCTGAATTTGTTGGGACTGAGCCACATTTGATTCAGCCACAAAGCAATGAAGATAAAAACAAGCAGTGTCCTTTCCTTATTATTTCTCCTACATTCTTCCCCTCATATTTCTTTCTATCCTACATTCCAACCCTCCTCTTCCACTTCTTGTTTTTACCCTCATTTCTTTGTCTTTGGTGATCTCTTCATTGGTCCACAAAGGACCTTGATAAGGGCCATTTCCTACCCTCTGACCCTTGCATTCCTGACCTACAATGTATTCCCCTTCCCCTCCCCCTTCTGGCCAGACTGTGGTCTGGTCTTCCTCCACTGGCCCCATTACTCTCACCCAATCCTCACCACGTTCTCCACTTTCATAGCCAAGCTTCTACCTTGTCTGATTGGTTCCCATATCTTAAATCAATTCCTCGTGCATGGCTTACACATTGCTCTGATGATGTACCTGTGAGTATCTGTTAATTGTATTGATAAAAGTAAAAAACTTTCTGGTATTCCTTTGTTGACTTTTACCTGAGGGCCAAGGCCAAGTAGCATGCCAGCTGACAGGTGCTGCAACATGCACAAGTTGTACTAGTAACACAAAACACTTAATTGTGCAAAAGTTTCTGGCTTGTTCCTTGTCACAGCCTGCAGTTTATGCATCAGGGAGAAGTACAGGCACTTCCTTACCAAAACTGATGGAGGAAGAAGACCTGGGATATAATGTTGAGTAGTCTGGTAGAAATTTACCAACATTTGAGAAGTACTTGCTGCCTCCATCAACAGAGAGATCACCCCGATAATGGGGTGCAGTAAGGACTTTCACATCAGTAAACTTCTACCAGACTACACAGCGCAATAACCCAGAAGAACTTGGAGCATTTTTTAAAAATATTTTGTTATGTATGGGTATTAGACATAATCCACTGCAGCTATATTTGTTGTGCTTACAGGAGGTAGATGCTGAAGTTGATTGTGGTCCAACCAAAGTTCCTGAAGTGATGGAAGATTCCCAATGTGATGAGGCTGTAAAAATAGAAATTGAACAATTACAGCTTATAAACATGGTCAATCTGGAGAAATAGCCTTGGAGTTACAAAAATCATTCATAAGATTAATTAATAACACATTAAAACAAAGAGGAAGTCATAACTGTTGTGAAAAACACATCCCTAGTAGCACAAAGGAAAAAATCCCCTGCAAACCTCGGAATTCCAGGCAGGGAATTTAACGTGGCAGCCTTCTCTCCCCCTGCTTCCATCACTAAACTGAATCAAATTAAAATATAGTACTTGCATTTCCTCCACAGCAGATGCAATTTCACAGCACTTCTGATAAAGACTCAATTTTACTGATTGTTTCTTTAACCAGTATATTTGTTCATTACAAAGTTCAGCACTTCACTTACCAATTTCTCAATCTCATTGTCTCCAAGATCTAACCTCTCAAGTTTGGATAGTTGTGACAAAGATTCTGGGAGAGACTTGAGCAGGTTCTCACGCAGCTCCAGAGACTGCAGGCTCACAAGACTGAAATAAGCATGGAAAATACCCATTACAATTTCAGGGATTAATTAACCTACAATAAAGGTAGTTCACCCACCCCATGGAGCTTTTATACCTGAAGAGAGAAGCAATTAGAATGCACAATGTCAAGAATTCTTCCAAAGTAATTTGAGAAATCTCAATCAAAAATACAAACAGGCAGACATGACCTCATTTAATGCAAATACACATGGAACACTTAAATAATGATATATAACCAGTAAAGTTGATAAAGCATAATTTAATTCTTCTTCTTCTTATTCTATGGCTCTCCGGTCCGTGTTCGGTCCATGGCCTCCTCAATTCTCCTCTTCCATTCGGTCCTTCTGTCCGAGGCTTTGATTGAGGTTTTCGAAACATCCTTTTTATGATGCAAGGTTGTTAGCCTTGCGACCAACCCCCAACCTGGAGGACCAGGGTACCTGTCTTAGTCTGACCTCTCCCCCTCGACCAATCTGGCTAGGAGGCCCTACCAGTAGCTATGCTACTGCCAGTATAATTTAATTAAGTAAACATAAAAGCAGCACTTCAAAAATTATCCTGGCAGCTGCATGTGTTTGATGTGTTTATTTCAACATTCTGACCGTTTATGGCTCTTTTAATGTCTCTGTAACTTAACAATATGTCAAATCTAGAAGTTGCCTAGAATGACTGCTCCCTAGTGGTTTGATACACAACACAGCATGATCATATCAAACACCTATAACTCCTCGATATGTATGCATTAAGCATATGTCAAAAGATTACAATAAAGCTGTCTTTTGTTGTTGTTGTTGTTGTTACATCATATTACATAAGTTGCATAACAGTAAATATTCAGAACTTCCTCCTTCCATACATGTGACTACTTATTCAAATGACAAACAGCAACACAAGTTTCCCTGCATCAACAACGAATGATCTTGAGTTCTTCTCACTGAGTTCCTCATTAAACCTTTCATGATTATGTGCATATACTTAGATGTAGATGAAAATGAGCTTAACAGAAAATGAATGTACAAGTAGGGACTCCAACTATGCTTCAACTAACACGAACGTACAAAATGAAGATTTCTGTCTTCTGGGTTGTTGCGCTGTGTAGTCTGGTCGATGTTAACCAACGTCTCAGAGGTCAGACTGCCTCCGTCATCAGGGCGATGATTATGAAGATTTCTGTCTTCATACTCACCACTGTCAAAACCTCAAATCTTACAAGTACAAAATAGTTTAAATATCCATAATATGTTGTCTTTGATTGTCCACTGAAACCACTCTACAGCCGAAAAACTTGGTATTTAACATTACACAAACATTTGCACTGAAATATATATCAATATTATATCTTGTTAAAAGAACTGGCATTGTAACTTGAAAATCAATGCCCTCCATGAACAGTTCATTTTCAATGAACCTGTATCACTTTTGTGAGATTCTTCAATATTTTTCAAGACAAATATATTTTATGATCAAAACAGTTTAGAAAGAAACAAGCACAATAAAAGTTTCAAAATCTTATCACTTCACAGATTCCTTCATAGAAACAACTCACTACATAAACACCCCTACACAAAATATTTTTATTTCTAACATCTTCCTTTTATATATATATATATATATATATGCCCCTTTCTTTTTAACCACACCCACCTAAGTGGTCCGTATTAATAGAGCAAAACCTTTACAAGCTCTATTTCAAATCACTTCATCCTTGAATGAAAAGACAAATAATGCAACCACACATGTGGAACAGAATAAAAATATGTAATTTTCTAAAACAGAGAAACAAAACAGTCACAAAATACCCACCATTAAGCATTTATCCCACTGAACCATCTAGAACTTTTCACATGCCTTAAGTTATTCATCAATCACTTTGAAACCTACAGATATAATATAAGCCCAACTAGTTGCTTTAACATTGAGATAGGTTACAGCAAACTAAAGTTAATTTAGAAATGTTACATCACATATTGCTGTTAATTTTATAAGTACACCAGCAGCAGAGACCTTGGCATACTGCTGCACAAGGAAGATGTGTAAGAATTCATGTTTATAAATGCCAATGTTACACTTCCATACATTAAGGACCTCTATAAAACTCTGTTTAATATATGAAAGTCACAACTTGGACTAAGGTAAAATCAAATGTCATATTTAAAATTAGATACACAAATAAAAAACAAAATAAATAAATAAAACAGAACTTGTTAGTGTTTCATATGTTCAAGAAATGGACTCAAAAATGGTTTGTCCCTTCTTAAATATGCCCAAAATCTTAATATTAATTCTAGTCCAGGCTCAAATTGAATGTGTTAAATTAAAAATGTGTACAGTAAACTTAAAATGTGCATCAAAGGCACCAGAAGTTTAAATAAATATACCTTAAAAGAGATATTCATAAAACTCCACTCCATTCTAATAAACTTTAAGTTGTTACATAACAAACTGGACACAATGTCATGAGGGCATGTGTTAATATAGATGGAATTCAAAGAAATACATTACCTTCCAAAGTCAGGTGGAAGATTGGTAAGGGACATATCATTAAGACCCAGTACTGTCAGGTTACGGAGCTGGGCAAAGCCAGGTGGTAACCTGCAAAACAAAAGCACACTACACTTGCATATACTTCTTGATATCAAGGACCTAGGACACTACTCACTCCCACAAAAAACATAATTACTTCAACATAATTTTCTTTCCTTACACTGAATTTCAATATTATTCTCAAAATTATGCCTTAATCTATCACATCAAAATTTAGTTCTCACTTCTACATACAGAGTACCCATTTAAACTACCCGATTTAATTTTCCTAACAATAAAAAATAAAAGCAGAAATCAGTGCATTGCTCTCCTCCTCCGAAACTACAGGACAAATCAGGCCACAGCATCTTCTATTGTAAAGATTCAGATTCAAACCAACCAACCCCATGATTGTGCAGTCTATGTGGAATTGGCCACTTGACACAAGGTTTGTCATCATCACATTTTCGGCATTCAACGTAACTGTCTGCATACCTCGTAAGATACGAGGTTCTCAAAGTGTCGAGAATGAAGATGGCCGTCTTTTGAGTTCTTGTGCTGTGTAGTCTGGTAGTTGTTTACCAATATTTTAGAGGTGCTTACTTCAAAGAACCTCTAAAATATTGGTAAACTTCTACAACAATCCAGACGACAGCCATAATTTGCATTCCTTGTTTTAAAGTATTGTCTTGATTTCAGTTCCTCCATTTCAGAAAGAAACCAAGTTTTAGAAATTTTCCTTAACAACAAAAAGTAGCATCATTTTGAAAACTACTCTAAAGTAATTATGTATTTTTGAACAAAATGTTGCCAAATGGCTATCACAACAATGTCAGAAGTAGGAAGATATGCCACACCAGGAGAGCGATGCACAAATAGGGACTTCACTGCCTACACAGCTTCAACATCACATTCCAATCGACACTACACGGTCCACCTGCTGACTGCATCATTGAATAAACCACATACAAACATATCATAGCCCATAGTTACTGACCTAGGGTATGGTATGTCTGACAATAACAGAAGCTGTTCAAGTAGCTTAGCTGGTCAGTGGTCAGTGAGTCACATATCAACATAAATAGTCTTCGGCAACATTGCCACCATGATGAGAACTGCTCTTACACAAGCCAACTTAGACCCATGCGCAAATGGAAGGATTAGGTGTTAAAATGAGAACAGATTCAATCGTCTAAATATAGGGTGCAGAAAAAGGATCTTGGAAGCACAGGAATGAGATTTCTCAGTTTTCCAAACAGATCAGGAATTTCTCGACCAACCCCACTCCAAGTTCTTGGCTATTCAGTCGATTATGACCATTGAAAATGTTTGTTGGCCTGTGATAGAACAGAAATCTATCAATGTTATCTCAAGTCATAAAATAAGAGAAACAATACAGCCTTACTTTTCATTTCCAAAAATGCATACCTGGGGATGGGGTTGCTGCTAAAATCTGCCACTTGCAGAGACCGTAGATTCTTGATATTCTCTGGAATGTCAGTAATGTCTGTAACAGAATATTGCATTAAAGTGAACCAAACCATGAGAAGCCAAAGGATGTTTACAAAAACATAATTTCAAAACAAATATTACTAGTGAACACTGGATTTTCATTCCCAAACTCAGTATAAATTAACTATAACAGTTAAAATAAATCATAATCATCCACAGACATTTCCAAGAGGATGATTTCTCCCATTACAATGATTCCTTTACTGTTCTCTAAGCAAATGCTCTACTTATATCTATGTAAGATTTGAGGTTTTCACAGCGGCGAGTAAGAAGATTTCTGCCTTCTGGGTTGTTGCGCTGTGTAGTCTGGTCGATGTTAACCAACGTTTCAGAGGTCATACTGCCTCCGTCATCAGGGCGATGAGTATGAAGATTTCTGTCTTCTGG